ATCTGCAAAATAACCAGAGCAAAATGGTTAGTAGTATGGCTGGAAGCATAGTTCAAGCAGTGGAGTGCTTGCTTTGCAATTGCAAAACCCTGAGTTCAAACCCCAGTCCCAGTAGTAAATTCAAAATAAATAAATAAATAATGATTTTTAAAAAGAACCATACTAATGCAGACTTAAATAATCAATGTTTTATGGTGCAGGATTTTAAAAAAGAACCTCAATATTTATATTGCAAATACAATGAACATCATATTCTAATTTTTAGAAAGAGTCCATAACTTTGTTTTTCTGCTCTTTTTCAAAATACATTATTAAACACATTTATAAAAATAATTCAATAAATGTCACTATCCTGAAATGGAAACAAGTCCTGTAGACATTTAAGCTGTGTTCTATGTAATTTGTCTTTCATTTAGCTTCAAATAGAATAAAAAAGCTCATTAGTAATATCTGCATTTCCTTTCTCACAGTTCTTTCGACTTTGAAACTCTCTCTAAATAGTGCTTATGACATCATGTCTGCTAGATCTCACTCACAGGAAAGAAAGGCCGGAGCTAGGGCTTTCTATAGAAGACCAGATTCTACCACTTGGATGCTCAGTTTTGTTTTAGTGCCTGCATGGTGTTTCACTATTTTAATGCATGGACATTTATTTTGGTCTCTTCATCAGTTAGTGTATTTTACAAATGAAGTCAAGTTATCTGTTGAGGATGTGTTATAAGTAGGATTTTAAGTCCTACTTAAATGAAATTGTTTTAGACTTTACAACAGGTCTGTGAGGTTGAGCCAACTATAATTACGCCTATGATGCTTATAAGAACAGAGTGGTCATTGTGGTAGCAATGTACTGAGGGCTGGACCTGGGAACTGAACCCACACTCCACATCATTGTCCAGACTGTCTGGCATGTGCTGACATACATCATTTAATAGTCACCCAATCTTATGCCCACTTCCAGGAATTGTTAAAGAAAGGATTATTTATATAAAAAAATGACATGACTCCAAAGTAGCATATTGATTTCACTGAGAAAGATGTGATTGCAGTATACTAGAAATTTGCAAGAATTAGCTGTTTTCTCTGGCCCTGCTAAGAGACCGAGGAACTGTCCATACCTGACTTCCTACTTTCTCTTTCCCTTCCCATGACTGAAGCCTCAGGGATTTAAAATGCATATTCAGGCCTCCAAGCCTTTTGCTGGGAGAGTCGCACCTGCTCAGAGGCTCCCTTCCAGACACCTGGACATATTCCAGTTAATGCTCGACTCAGAACTTAGCATTTGCACCTTGTAACTGCAGTTTTACACATTCATGGTGTATTTGAAACTTGTTTTTATTGGGCTCCACAAGTGTGCCACTGCTTACCAAAGGTGAAATCAAGGAGTGAGCATATAACAACTAGGTTTTGGGGGCAAAAATGATGTTTATATAAATGTTCTTGCTAAAGGATCTCATGTAACATGTCAGGGTTGCATTCCAGGCTAGCAAATTCCAGCTTCACCAATCTCCTCCTACTTACATCATGACTTCCTTCCCTCTTTGCTATGTTCCAGTCAGCTTAGGATCCTCCATATGAATCAGATGCCCCCTAAGTGCCAAAGCCCCTGCAATTAAAGTGCCTCTGGACCTTGTAATACTAACCGTACGGAGACACAGCTCACTTTTCTAAACTAGTTTCTCTCTGACATAAAGTCAAAAGTCAGTCTCTTCAACGTATGACATTGCAGCTGCTGGGTGATAGGAAAAACAAACGAATCACTCAATGTGAGGGAGGATTAAGTTAATTTAACAGCATTCGTGCTTGTAAAGACTGGAAATTGGCTCTTCATAACATTTCGCTGAAACTATGTTGTGAAATTTTATAAGAAAATGAAAATGTAAGGTAATGAGAGAAAAAGAGAAAGTTGGGGAGAAGTTGACAAACTGAGCACCCAACACTTTGTGAGGCAATGGGTGTCTATGTCTCCCTTCATTTAAATCCATTAAATACTAGTTTGACTTGAAATTTTATAGATTTCTAAAATTTTCCTGATAGGTTAGCTTATATATTCATTTCTGTGGTGCTGGGGATCAAACCCAGGACTGCACGCACGCTAGGCAAATGCTGTAACACTGCTCTGCACGAACAGCCATGACTGGTGTGGTTTTTGAAGTTGATATTCAATTGTTTGAATAGGATTTGTTGGATTCTTAATTTCTTTCTGCAGTAACTGAGAGCTATTATGATTCTTTATTTTATGTCAGTTTTAAGTGGGCCTGTGACAAAAGTTAAGATTTTTTGGTCAGATCCCAGAGGTCCTATTTCAGATTTGGGGTCTAGAATCTTTTTTGTCCATTATATTTTGAAACTAATATCTAAAAAGTAAATAATAACTCAACCTAGATTGAGAAGTTGTTAAAGTTTGCTGCTTTTGTGTTATTTTCCTGTAGTTTGCCATTATTGACAGCTGTATAGATGACATTGTGGGTGAAAGGATGGGGGCTGGCTGGATGGATGGATGAATGGACAGATAATCTGTACTCTTTTCACTTGATAATCTGTTGTAAATAGTTCCATTGTGCTTTCTTGATAACTTACAATCCCTGGACCTTTAATGAAAAGAACATTGTACTGAAAATAATTAACTGATTTTTGTTTATGGTGAAATGATGTCATACATATTAATATGTATATTTAAACATATAGATACCCCTTGGAGACTAAGGACAATACATAATCCTTTCATCTCCCTGGTAGAACCAGAGCATCGATGGGAATCAGAGCCTTTCATAGACCACAGATGACCAGGTGCCCCTCAACACCTGTATCACACACAAAACCATTTCCATCATTCTTGTATTATTCATGATCTAGAATTTCTTTAAAATTTTCTTCCACACATGTATTAGATAAAGTGTTCAGATTTCCTGTTGGGCTTTCTGAAGTTACTTGCCTTTTCTCTTCAGTGTTTTACGTCTATATTGCTGTCACTACAGTGTACTATCACAGTGTATGAACAGATCAGAGTTTTCACATTTACCACTGATGAACATTAAGCAAGTTTCCAATTTCTCTGAATATGAACCATGCCCTCCTATAAGCCAGGCCTGAGGAGGTGTTCTGTAATCCCAGCACTTGTGAGGCTGAAGCAGGATGAAGGCGAGTGCAAAGTCAATCTAGGCTATAAAACGAGACACTGTATCAAAAGAAAATTCTTTTGTATATCCTGTGAAGATCTGCAAGAGACACTTGTGGGCAACTACCTAGGAATGTCTAATATTTAAAGTTCCAGTATGTTATGGTCATTTTCTTAAATGACAACGATTACCATCGTCAAGGAACAGGACCAGCTTTTTGAAGTTCTTTGACTGGTCCAGAATTTTATTTGTTTTTTAGTGTGCCCAGATGCCTTTTCTTAAACCTCTTCAGACACATAGGATTCTGTACTAACTCCACATGTAGAGATGAGTAGACACAGTTCAAGTCTCATTGAATACCCAGCCATCTTGGCAAGATAATCATTTGACCTGGGAGTTTGCCTACTGCCTGATGCCATGGTGATTTTTATTGAGTCAACTCTACATCCATACTGGGCTCACTCAACTGGTATTCTAATGCTTCTTTGACCTAGTTAATATTGGTGATGTTTTACCACACTTGAGCACAAATGACTCTGGCAAACGGGGTGACGTATTAGAAAGCACCTGAACCTTGGACTTAGAAGGCTTGCCTTTAGCAGAGTTGGTCATTACCCATGAAAGCATGTCGTTATAATGAGAGACAATATGTTTTTCTAGCACCTGATTAACATTCACTAATATTTATTCTGTTGATGTGGCTCTGTTAATTGTCATCACCTAGATATTGGAAGTTCCTTTCTTTGATAATTTCCTCATTGGCTCTCCCCTTTTCTCTGTCTCTTTACATGATTTAATCTAGGAATTTTCACCCTGCCCATTCCTTACTTCAATCTCAACTTCTAGTTTCCTTTCCTCAGTTATTCTCATAGTGTTCACATACATATATTTTTCCATTTAAATGTGCAATTAATCTTTTGGTTTCTTATTAAATATAAGATGCCACAATTTGAACTTTAATTCCTGCCCTCCCATCCCTACTGTTCCCTTACCACCTTCTCCTCTAGCTTCGTTAAAGGGTTTGCCATCATCTTGGTTTCCCTGAACTAAAACTGAAACCCACCCTGACTCTTCTCCATCAGCAACTCCTGTAGGTTCTGTTACCAGACCATGTCATGCCACTGACCACTGCTTACACTCTCCAGTGTTACCTCCCCAGTCTCAGCATCAACTTCTGTCTGTTTTACTGCTGCTGCCCTCCCTGCTTCTACTCTGCCCTTCTCAAGATGCAGCCTAACTCAGACCTGATCGCTCTACGATTAAAGACCTCCAAGGACTTCCAAATTGTTGTTAGATTAAATTCCAGCCACCTTGACATGACTTTCAGATATGATTAGACATCTGTCTTCATATCTTTCTTTCCATTCTCCTCTGGCCTCTGCTTTTATCTTGCTGGACTATATCCCAAATTTATTTCCATCTCCAGGCCTTTGCACTTACTTTCCTGTCTTCTTGGAACTCTCTTCACATAAATGTGTGATGTTTCCTTCTCATAGTTCAAATAGCCTCCTGAGAGAGACTTTCTCTGAACTTCTGGAAAGTGCTAGGCCATATTTTTCTTAAACCTTTTCTGCACCACTTAAATTTAAACTGAAATTTTTTTTACCTGTTTTCTTTTTTTTAAATCTCACTCCATTAAAATATAAATTATAGCAGAGTATTTCAGATTTTTTGTTTGTTGGTTTGTTAGTTTTTCTGTATTTTGTCAATCACTGGTGCAGTGCCTAGTTTGTACTAGGAGTTAAGTATTTGTGAAACTAATGAAGTGATATAACCAGAGCCTAAAAAATTGCAGATTTTGTCACTAAATAATGACAGAAACTATATAAAGAGAGTGTATGTACATACATATATATTAAGGCTTTATAATATTTTCTTTTTCAGAATTAACTAGAATTCTTCAAAATGTCAGGTATGATTTTGTTCTCATTATCATCATGTTGTTGTACTGGAGGTACATTGTGACATTTATGAAAGTGTTTGCAATATATCTTAGTTAAATTCACCCCTCCATCATTCTTCTTTATCCCTTCTACCACCCTTCTTAGAATAGTTTTAGCAGGTCTCTTTCCATTTTCATACATAAGTGCATATTTTCACCATATGCACCCTCCTACAACCTTTTCCTGAGTAAATTTGATTATGTTAGTTTTCTAGCATGAATTTTGTGATTGTTTTCTTTACAAAGGGAGTTAATTTCATTTTGAATATTTTTATTGATTAGCATTTGGGTATATATCTGTCATGTGTCATATGAACACACTTATTCTTTGTCAGAAGAGGATAAGAAACATCTTATATTGGCACACATGTACTGAAAGATCTCAAAAATATGTGAGTGAGATTAGGTAAAGTACAGTAAAGGTGGGAAAGTCTGCAAGGAGAGGCGATAAAGAGCCTGTCCTGACATCTTGCCTTGACAGAGGAGGACTGCATGGTGACCTTGCATCTTCTAGTAACTGGTATAAAGAGAAAAACACCACAGTTGTGGAGTTTTTCTTTTCTCTGAGATAGAAGGCAACCAATTGTCTAGGAAATTCAAAACTATTTTGTTTTGATTTGGTTTGGTTTTACAGTACTAGGGCTTGAACCTCAGGGTCTTGTACTGCCTGGGCAAGCTCTCTACCATTTGAGCCACACCTCCAGCCCTTTTTGCTATAGGTATTTTTCAAATAAGGTCTCACATTTATGCCGAAGCCCTCCTGAACGTTGGTCTTCCTATTTAACTTCCCACATAGCTGAGATGACAGGTGCATGCTACCACACTTGGTTTTTTATTAGTTGACATTGTCTCAGTAACATTTTGTCCCTCTGCTTGAGTAGCTAGGATAACAGGTGTGAGCCATCTGCTCATTGTAAATTCAGATTTTTTTTTTTACAGTGAGTCTAGGGAGAAATTTCTCTAACCTCAACAAGAGGACTAGATATAACATTCAAAGAAGTGATTTCAGTATCTCTCTTGAGGCAATCATTGTGACAGGCTGCTTTTAGACAGAGTCAGCAAGAGTGTCGGTCGCTGCAGAAGTAGACTGAACTAACTCTAGTTCAGATATGGGAGGCACCACTGGTTTTTAAGCTATTAACGATTTTGTTTTATGTAGACACTGTTTCCAAAATATCAGGAAAAATGAATTTTTCCTGTATTTGCCTGTGCTCTTCGTATTACAGGGAAAGTATGTTGGCTATCAAGCATGGAATTTACTATGTGAGTAGAAGTCAGTGTCAGGTCGAGCCACTAGAATTGCCCTACTCAAAAAGACAATGCTATTTCTAAGCTTTGTTTTTTAATTTTATATTCAGCCTAAAATTTATTAATAGATTAATATAACTTTTCTTAAGAAATATGAGTGTATTTTATGTTGATTATATTCCTTGATGCAAACCAACAAGAAAAAGTGCATGCATTTTTAATCATATTATCATCTTCTTTGTAACTCATGTTCCCCTCTCTTCCCCTAGTCCCCAAAGCCCTGCAGCAGCCTGCTGGTGAAGTGGAAAATCAAATGAATTCATCAGATTCAAGGCCTGATCTCCCACCAGACTATGATTCTCATCTCGTACCAGGTATCATAAATATTCTGAAAGGATCTCTTTCCATTCCAGAAAACCACAGCAGTGGTTAATGTTGCTTTTTAAATTAGCTAATTGATTGATATAGTAAATGAATACTGACTGTTGACAGGACGTCAAGTAGTTAACTCTATGTGTGTAAGGACATATTCCTGTCCATAGAATGTACCAGCCACTGAGGAAGGAAGGTGTACAAAGATTGAAAGTATTCTCTGTCTTCTGTTATGGAAACTTGAGGAGGATGTTGCAGGGGCACAGGAGATGGTGGGTTTGACTCTGCCAGGGTTTGAGGGAAGCCCTGATGGAGAAAGTCAAGTTTTGCTGTTGTGATAACAATTTAATAGCCAAACAAAAGTGAAAAGTGACCATGTTTAACAGAAAAAAATGTTCAAAAGCAGGTGTTTATAAAGGACTGGATAGAGGCATTCATGGGACAAAGGTCAGGAGAAAGAAGAGAAATGGAAGGCAACAGCCTCAGTGCTGAGTAAGCAAGGTGTCCAGGCAAATATTCCTAGAAGTCTCCATGCAATACTGGTGGTAACTCAGAAAACTTATACACCGCTGTGTATAAGCTGTGTATACTTATACACAACTGTGTAAACTTCAGTTATTATAATGTTTTAGGAAGCAATCTGACAATATATAAAATTTCAAAATTTAAAAATATATTTAATGCTGACAAAGGAAATTGTCTTGATCGATATTGTTTTCAAGCAAAATGCAATAACAGAAGACGATGGATGTGATGTAGTATATTTTTAAAATAGTGATTAAGTATATTTAGAAGTAAAACCCATTGGGTTAGGCTCTGGAAGGGCAAAAGAAACTTCAGCATCCATAGCATCCATAGGATCATGGCAAAGATGTTGTTTTGACTCCAGTCATGTTATCAAGGGAATTCAGGAAGCCTCTTCTCTACAGTGTTCTCTGCAAACAACAGGGACTCCCTCTTCCTTTTCCTAGTGCACATTCATGCTAACCAGGTAGAGTCATCATAACAAACGTTTTACTTGTATTTAGAAGCTAAATACGAGGTATTGGTAACCCTAAATTATAATCATGCTTTATCTGAGCATTTGTGTACATTTCACTTAGTGACTTTCAACAAGATGTATATGACTTATACTATTCATCAATCACTCTATAGAGAAAAACCTGACTAGAACAGAAACTCTACCATTTCCAATAAGCAAACACTGGTTATAAATCGTGTTCTGTTCACCTGCAAATGCTACTGCTTTACTTTGCAGCAAAAAATTAACAGTAGTGTAGACTTCCTTCAAATTACATGACTATGTAAGTTGAAATTAAGGTTTTCAGCACAGAGCATGAAACTAATGCATTTTCAGATAGAAATGTAAAGTAAAAATTCACTGTGATCACCACCCAGTGGCTGGACAATGTAGGTACTTATGACACCCATTGAGTTCTTGTCGTTCCCATGAAGAAACTTTAAAGACCCTAGTTGAAACATTTGGTTTAAATTTATTTAAATTCAGTTATATACTTTTCAATTGCATTACAGTACTGTGTTTCCACAACAGTAATTTTGTCTACTATTTTTCAAACGAATAGTAAACAAACCAATGGTTATATGTAGCTTAAAGTGAAAATGACATTCTTTTCTTTCAATCTAAAAGAATGATTACATTCAAAATAACTAGAGAAACTTGAATACCATAAGGAACCATTTCTCACACTACTTTTGGTAGATCAGTGATTTATTAAAAGTTCACTATTTAAATAAGTACAGCATTGTCAAATTACACAAAATTAGACATGTGTTGTTTTGTGTTGCTTTTCTTCAGAACCAATCATAACCCTTTAGAGTAATTTCATAGATCAAAAGTGAATATAATATTACTGGTTTCCCACACACAATGTGGTCATGTTTCTTTCTTCACATTTTCAACACTGGAAAATACATACTTATGATAAATGTCATCCATTTACATAAATTTGTCTATAATTTTTAAAACTATAATCACTATAGGATAAATAAAATAACTATATTGGAATTTTTTTCTGATGATTTAATCCTCAAATGTTATTATGGCAGGTATCTTTGTATTAAAAGTACATAGCATACTAATCACCAACTCATTAAAGTGATGTAATGATTAGTGTTCTTAAGATAATTTATGTGACTTTTAGGCACACCACTGGTTTCAATGATAGCTTGAGCAAGGAAGAGAAGGTTCTGGTTTAGAGTCCAGTTCAGGTACTCTTGAACACAGTTCTCCAAGGAATTGAGGTATACTCTTCATGACAAACAAACAACATATCTCTCAGTTTTCTAAAGATATTACACTATTTTTCAACCCTAAGTTGACATAGTTTCTAGTTTCCTTTGCTTTCCTTTAGTATCACCTTACTCTCAGTTTATATCAAGAACTTGGACTCTCTTCCCTTAAAACCCTTTATTTCCTAGAATTCCTTGGTCCCACCCTTTGTCCTACTAAGTCCTGAACTGTATTCCCTTCTAACATTTCCCTTCACCCTTTTACACTTTTGAAAGTGTTCTTGGTAATACCAGTGGTTAGTTTCCCATTAATCACTTATGAATTCTGTATCCGCAATCCATATCAGTCAGCTCTGTTCTAAACTTGAACTTCCAAGTGCCTATAGCTTCTCCTGCATCACAATGGTTTTTCATACTCAGTGATCACCAGTCCAGCTTTGCATCTCATGCCCAATTTCTGCCTTTTCTGGAGGCACATGGGAGCCCAAGGCAGAAACTCGAGAGTCTTTCTTCACATCCAGTCCATTACCAAATCAACACTGTCATTAAATATCATATATGGTTTCTCCAATTTCTGCTCTTTTTACCATGGTGACATTTTCTTGCCTTCTCTCTGGACCCTTGTAAGCACTTCAGTGATTAGTTGAAAACTCTGTCTCACACTGTGTACAAAGATTAACTCAAAAATGGATTAGGATCTATAGATAAGAGTGAAAAATGTGAAACTTTTAGAAGATATAGGTGAAAATATTCATGACAGCTTAAGCAAGACACTCTTAGGTATGACAGCTAAAGCAGAAAAAAACTAAAGAAAAAATAAATAATAAATTGGGCTTCACAAAAATTGAAAACATTCATTTGTCAAAGGACACTATTGAGAAAGAGAAAAGACAACTTACAAAATGACAGAAAATAATTTGCAAATCATCTATCTGGCAAGAGATTTTTATCTTGAATAAAAAACATTTTTCAATGCAATAACGAGAAGACAAATTATCCAATCTTAAAGTGGGCACATGATTTCAGTAGATAATCCTCCAAAGAAAGTATACAAGTAGTGAATAAGTGCAGGAAAGATGTTCAACACCTTTAGTCATCAGCAAATACAAATCAAAATCACATTAAGGTGACACTTCACACCCATTAAGATGACTAAAGAAAAAGTGAGGATGTGGAGGAGTGGAGGTGGGAGTGTAAAATAATGAGCCCACTTTAGAAAACAATTTGACAGTTTCTCAAAAATTTAAACCCGGAGGCCTGGTGTGGTGGTGCACACCTGTTACTCATCTATTCGGGAAGTTGAGGCAGATGAATAATGAGCTTGAGGCCAGGCCAGGCAGAGTTTGTGATGTCCTCTATAAAAATCAAAATAAAAACAAAAGTGTTTGGAGGCTTAACTCAAGTGGGAAGAGCATGACCCTAGGTACTGAAAATATATACATAAAAATATATATCATATATAATATATCTAAGTATATGAAAGTATATGTGTGTATATATATATTTGTGTGTGTATGTAGATATATGTACATACATATAACATGGAGTTACCAAATACCTTGACGAATATTCTTTCTAGGAAGAATCAAAAACATATAACCCTACCGAAATTTGTATGTAGATGACAGCAAGAGTGTTATTTACAATAGCCAAAAATGAAAACAACCCAAGAGTCTGCCAACTGAACACAATTAATAAAGAACACAAATATTTGGCAGAGCCACATAGCATAATATCAACTCAGCTACAAAAAGGAATGATGTACTGACATAGTCAACAACATGGAGAAAACTTGAAAACATGGAAGTGAAAGGAACCTGATACAAAGGTTGCATCCTGTATGATTTCTTTTCACGGGACATCCACATCAGTCAAATCCATAGAGTGTTTCCACTGTCTGGAGAGGGGCAAAGGGCATGACTGTTGGTTGGTATGGGTTCTTTCTGGAATGATGAGCTTCTGAATTTATATAGCAGTGTTGGTTGCTCTACTTTGAGAATATACTAAAATTCACTGAGTCGTACCTTTAGAAAAGGATCATAAAGTTGATTTTCTTAATTTTTGCCTTAAGATTTTGATTCAATAAATAGAAATGGACCCCTGGAATCTATATTTTTATTAAGAACTCCAGATTATTTTGAAGCACTTTGATACTGAGCTACAATTAAGAATCAATATGCTGAAATTATTTGCTTCTAATTTGAAAATCTAAAAAAATTTACTAACATTTTTTCACTCTCATCATAGGCAACCAAGCTTCAGCAGACTGTAGGTCAGGTCTCAGCTTGGATTCTCTGCTTATGTAGGTTGCTTTTATTTAATCTTAACTAAAACAGATACTGAAATCTTAACATGAAATGTCTGAATTTGTTTTTCTTTTTAATCTCAAGACTTGCCACAACACTTACTTTTTGTATAACTCCACTGGGGAGGAAAACCTTTCTTTATCTGTGGCTGGCCTACCTGGAAGTTCAAAGAAAAGTGCCTTGGGGCTACTGATAACTCTGCCACTCACAGGACATCCAATAAGGATGTAAATCATTGGGAACAACAGTATATGTTGTTTATCTCTTCACAGAAAACCAACCCCAGATATTTGCAAATTTTAATGAATTAAGTGAAAACATCTGTGAAGTAAAACAAAAAATGGAAAAAAAACCTAACCATAATTATTCAAAAATAACTTGAGATGGGTCTCACTATCTAATCTAGGCTGGTCTACAACTTGTGATCTTCCTTCCTCACTCCGCCTATTGAGTCTTGGGATTACAGGCTGCACCACCATGCCCATCTTACAAAAATTCTTCATTAGTTGAGGTACTGCAATATGGGTATTTCTTATAGTTACATGCTAGGAATTCCTTGAATTAAAAAAGATCACAAAGTTATCACTTTTTATCTTGAGAGAGTCTTGGTAAAGAAAAATATCCAAAGATCACATTTTAGCTGTCATGCAGTAAATTATCATTTTGCGTACTTTTCTCAAAACATTATGCAACATGGCATTTCCTTAAAGAAATCCAGTTCCCTTGACTGACTTGTAATGACAAAGTTCACCAGATCTCTATACTGGAGAGAAACGATGAAGAGATAGGTACTGTGGACTGAATGCTTGTGTACCTCCACAGTTCATTATCCCCAGTCCCCACTGTGATGGTATTAGAGGTAGATCTTTTAGAAGTAACTAGGTGTGAGAATAGAGCACTCATGATGAGATTGGTGCTCTTGTGAGTGCAGCAAGAGAGAGATGATATCTCTCTCCACCTGTGAGGATAAAACAAGAAGGAGACTGCTTGAAAAGCAGGTACAGGGCTCCCACTGGACCCAACCAGGAAGGCACTTAACCTTGGACTTCACAGCTTTCAGAACTATGAGAAGACATGCTTATTGCTGAAGTCACTCAGTCTGTGGAATTCTGACCCAGACATAGAATTCTGACCGCTAAGACAATAGCTTAAGAAATTGAATCCAAGAAGAGCCAGGATTGAGGAGCAGTAAGATCTAGATAGTGAGGATAAAAACAAGTGATTGACTCAAAGTCAACCCAACCCTGTCATTAAATCACCCCTTTGAAGCAGGGGTGACCTTAACTGTATTTGTGACCTTAAACAATAACAACAACAATGAAGATAATAACAAAGATTTACAGTGGTGATTACATACTAGGCCTTGTAGTAATCCTCACACCAACTAGTCAAGTAAGCTTATTATCTCCAAAGAAGGAACATAACACATGGAGAGGCTAACATGTTACTTAATATTTCATACCTTATTTCTACATCTCCAGAATGGAAATAATCATCTCAAAAGGCTTTAAGAAGATTGAAAGAATCAATATGTAAACAGTCCCCTTAATATATTATCAGTGCAAGCTACAGGGTCAAAAAATGAAACAACTTGTTATCTTCAAAAAGATGTTGCACAACCTATTTTATCTTCATGTAAAAAGTCATACTAACTTCCAATATATTGAAGTGTTAATGCAAACATTTTTGTTGGTTTTGAACACAGGACCTCCCATAGCAGCTGTCCCTCCACCTGCAGGATACCCAGGAGGCTTGCCTATGGGGTACTACAGTCCACAGCAGCCCAGTGCCTTCCCCTTGTACCACCCAATTGGCAGTGTGCATTCTATCCAGTATCAGCCTGGCAAATATCCTATGCAGAACCAGCCTGCTCCAATAATGTGGATGCCTGGGCCAGCTCCTATGCCAAATGTCCCTCCTGGTCTGGAATACTTAGCTCAGGTACTGCACACAATTCCCAATTACTTTCTTATGAAGTGTGAACATGGGACTTGGACAAGCAAAGACAGAAGCTGGGTGGAGTGAATAAGGGAGGTGGGACTATGAAAACTGAGGCTAAGTTAATGAGGCAGTAGGAATGGTGGCATGAATTTCTGAAATGTGAAAATGGAGTAAAGAGTATAGAAATGTTTTTAATAAGATGAATATGTATTTTTCTAAAGGATTCAGGTTGAATTTTAAGATATTCAATATGGTTTCTGAAGGAAATTAGAGAAAAAAGAAAAAAGAATGGGAATAGGAAAAAAAGGTAACGTAGTTCTTAGTTGTGTCTTTTTCTTAGAAGGAAGGTATTAAAATCAAGCAAAGCAAAATAAGGAAGAGCAGAGTATTAAATAGTGGGTAAACTATGGAGTAGATTTGCTCATTGCTTTTCCCATTGCCATCATTATTCTTAACTTCTGCCACTTCTAAACATATACAAGGCAAATAAAAGTAAGATATTGTTCAAGAGAGCCAAGATCAAAAGTATTTCTTACAATACCCTGACTTCCAAATTTCCATCTACATAATACATTCTGAAGCCAGAAATAAAAACAGGAATGATGCACAAGTATGTAGAAATGGTAATTATTTAAAACCTCATCTCAAAAACTGAAAAAAATGTGCTTAATGAAAACAAGATACAGCTCAAGGTGAAAGTCTCATCTAAAACTTCTGAATAATGTGTTGCTTATGAAAAGCAGCAAGGACTTCTTACTTCAGCACATCTCCCAGGCACTCCATCAAGTATTCCTTGGAGTTGAAATGTTTCTCTTTTCAGTTCTACACACTTACCGGAACCTGTTATTTTTGTGTGTTGAAAATGATTGGCACTGTGTTACAATATTGACACAAGAAATTCTATAGAGTTAGATCAGGGAAAAAAATTTGAATTTTATATAAGCCAAAATTACATTAAATTATTGTTTGAGAAAAATTTTAACAAAATATAGAGTCAATCATTCATACGAAGTGCTAAAGTAAACCCTTGCGTTATTTCAAAAGGTGTTTACAGTGAATTAACTTTAGAAACTCACATTTTTACATTCATGAAAATACAGAAATTGCTTTTGGAAATTGAAATCCTTTGGCGTTGTGGCTCTTTTACAATTATTCAGCTTATTTCTTTATTTTTTCCATTGATTGTTTTATTCACTGTACAGAGGAGATTCATTGTGACAGTTCTAAATAAGCTTATACTGTACATTGGTTAGATCACTCCCACTGTCTCTACCCTCAACCCCCTCCCCACCCCACTTAAAAACTACTTCAAGAGGTTTCTATTTCATATAAGTATATGAAGTCTATCAACCATATTCCCTCACCTTAATCTCCTTTGTTCACCCTCCCTCGACTAGTACCTCCCCCCACACTCTGTACCTATTTACAGCCCTGTCTTTCATTAATAGTATCTAAGTTGATGTTCAAAGGAGGGTGTCAATGTATGCCCACTGTGGGTGTGCTTTACTTTGGTTTGTTCAGTCCTTTCGCTCAGCCTCCCTCACCCCTTTACCTCCACACCCCATTTTTCAACAGCTTTCAATACACACCCTTATATCCTCTACCTTCACATCTATGGTATGCCATATTACTGATGCTTTGTCATTCTCTGTTCCTTTCCCTCTGTCCCCGAGTTCCATAGAGTAGTTCCACTGTTACAAACATGTTCTACATGTGAGTTTGCATATGATCATGTTTATTTTTGTGTGTATGTTTATCTTTTGTGTCTATTTTCCCCGTATGACAGAAAACATGTGGCTTTTGTCTTTCTGATCCTGACTTACTTCACTTAACATGATATCCTCCAATTGTATCCATTTTCCTTCAAACCCATGTTTTCATTATTCCTTGTGGCTGAGTAGATCTCCATTGTGTATATATGCCACATTTTCTTGATCCATTCATCAGTTGTAGGGCATCTGGGTTGTTTCCAGAGCTTGGCTATTGTGAATAGTGCTGCAGTGAACATCAATGTACAGGTGTCTCTACTGTACCCTGACTTAAGTTCCTTTGAGTAGAGACCCAGGAGTGGTATCATTGGATCATATGGCAGTTCTATCTGTACTTTTCAGGATATTTTCATACTGCTTTCCATAGTGGTTGTACCATTTTGCATTCCCACCAGCAGTGTATAAGGGTTACTGTTTTCTCCACATCCTTGCCAGCATTTGTTGTTGTTATTACCCTTGATTATGGCCATTTTAATTGGGGTGAGATGAAATGTAAGTATTGTTTTGAGTTGCATTTCTTTTATGACCAGGGGATTTGAACACTTCTTCATGTATTTACTGGCTATTTGTACTTCTTCCTTTGGGAATTCCCTGTTTAATTCATGTGCCCATTCCTTCATTGGGTGTTGATTCTTTTGGGGCTGAATTTTTTGAGTTTCCTGTAGATTCTGGATATTAGTCCCTTATCTGATGTGTAGCTGACAAAGATTTTCTCCCCTCCTGTGGACAGTTTCTTAAGTCAAGTGACTGTTTCTTTTGCTGTGCAGAAGCTCTTGAGTTTGATGCGGTTCATTTGTTCATTAGTTCTCTTAGATGCTGAACCTTCTGAGTTCTATTTAGGAAGTGGTTCCATATGCCTGTATGTTCCAGTTGTTTAAAAGTTTCAGGCCTTATATTAAGGTTTTAGACTCACTTTGAGTTGATTTTGGTACAGGGTGAAAGACAGGGATCTAGTTTCAGTTTTCTACATGTGGATATCCAGTTTTCCCAGGAATATTTGTTGAAGAGGCTATCTTTTCTCCATCATGTGCTTTGGGCTCCTCTGTTGAAGATCAGCTGGCTATAGATGCATGGGTTTATGTCTAGATATTCTATTCTGATCCATGGGTTTTCGTGTCTGTTTTTGTACCAGTACCATACTGTTTTTATTGTTTTATTTCTATAGTATAGTTTAATGTTGGGAATTGTGATACCTCTAGAATTTGACTTTTTGCTCAGAATTGCTTTGGCAATTTGAGGTCTTTTGTGTTTCCATATGTATTTTAGAATTGATGTTTCTGTCTCTGTGCAGAATGTCATTGGGATCTTGATAGGGATTGCGTTAAGCTTGTAGATTGCTGTTGATAGTATAGCCATTTTCACAATGTTGATTCTACCAATCCATGAGCATGGGTGATCTTTCCATCTTCTGATGTTTTTTTCAATTTCTATCTAGTGGTTTACAGTTTTCATTGAAAAGTTCTTTGGTTTTCTTCGTTAAATTTACTCCAAGTTAATTTTTTTTGAGGCTATTGTAAATGGAATTTCTCCATGATTTCTTTCTCAGTCTGTTCATTGTTGATATTTAGGAAGGCAACTTATTTTTGTATATTAAGTTTGTATCTTGTTAATTTTCCAAAAAAGTTTAAGATTTCTAAGAGGTTTTTTTGGTAGAGTTTTTAGGGTCTTAGATATAAGATCATGTTAAGGAACATTCCTTCTATTCCTAGTTTATTCAGAGCTTTTATCATGAAAGGGTGCTGAATTTTGTCAAAGGATTTTTCTGCATCTATTGAGAGGATCATGTGGTTTTTTAACCTTGCTTCTGTTTATATGCTGTATTACATTTATAATTTGCATATGTTGAGCCATTCTTGCGTCCCTGTAACAAAACCAACTTGGTCATGGCATAGGATCTTTTGGATGTGTTGTTGAATCCTGTTTGCTAGTATTTTGTTGAGATCTTTGCATCTATATTCATTGAAGATATTGATCTGTAACTCTCTTTTTTGTTGCATATTTCTTGGGTTTTGGAATGAGTGTAATGCTGGCTTCATAGAATGTGTTTGGTATTGTTCTTTCCCTTTCTATTTCCTGGAAAGTTTGAGGAATAATTGACATTAGTTCTTGTTTAAAGGTTTGGTTGAATTTAGTCGTGAATCCATCAGGTCCTGGGCTCTTCTTTGGAAGATGACTCTTAATTACTGCTTCAGTTTCATTGCATGTAATAGTACTGGTTAGGTGGATAACATCTCCTTGGTTCAATTTTGGTTGATTATGTGCATCTAGGAATTTATCCATTTCATCTAGATTTTCCAGTTTACTTGCATATAAGTTTTCAAAGTACTCTCAAATGGTTCTCTGGATTTCATTGGTGTTTGTGGTTATGTCCCCTTTTCATCTTTGATTTTATTAATTTGGGTCTTTTCCTTCTTCCATTTCATCATGTTGGCAAAGAATTTGTCGATCTTGTTAATCTTTTCAAAGAAATAATATTTTGTTTCCTTAATTCTTTCTATAGGTTTTTTTTTTCTATATATATCTTGTTTGATCTCAGGCCTAATCTTTATTATTTCTCTCTGTTGGCTGGTTTTGGGTTTGGTTTGTTTGTTCTTGTTTTTCTAGTAGCTTAAGTTGCATCATTAGCTTGTATATTTGAGAAGTCTGTGTTTTAATGTAGGCCCTAATAGCTATAAACTTTCCCCTTAGCATGGTGTTTACTGTGCCCTACAGATTCTGATGGTTGTATTTTCATTTTCATTGGATTCTAGGAACTTTTTTATTTCTTCCCTTATTTTTTTCAGTCACCCACCAGTCATTTAGCAGTGTTGTGCTAGACTAAATTCTTGCATTATTTCCAGAGGTGTTTATAGTGAATTAAGTTTAGAAGCTTACATCTCTACATTCATGAAAATGCAAAAATTGCTTTTGGAAATCTGAAATCCTTTGGAGTCAATTGTTTAGCTTTATTTATTTAAATATTTTTAAAAGTTTCTCAATTTCTGCTATTACTCTGACAGAGGTTAAATTAGCATATTTTATGAGTTCTGTCTTTCCTTTCAGGAATGTTTTGACTTAAAAAATTTAAGAAAAAAAAAACAATAATATAAGGTTTGGAGCCAAACAAATCTGGTCTTTCTTACTAACTATAAAACCAAGAATAACTTTCCTAACCTCTTGGTTCTTGAATGTCACCATCTATAAAATAGTATTGGCAATACCACCCTGTCAGGAAATTAGTAAGATTTTTAAGGAGACAGTTCTTGTAATGCCCTCAATATTTGGGGGGCCTGCCTGCTAGATGATAGATGTGTGAAGGTTTTTAGTTTTAAAAGATTCTTCAGAATGAAAGCAAGATGGAGAGCCAATCATTTCCCTCCTGGTCTTTTTAAATTCTCATATGCAGGTGATGCAATGCTTCATGAAGTCTCGCAAGACTCCTTAGCAGTCCATAGGAGGATTACATTTCCAGAATACTGGCTTTGCCAGTGACTCCAACAATTTGTCAAAAACTATTTCTTTGCTGGCATAGCATCTTATTAGGCAAACTCCTTCCATATCAACAGGTGTCAACACATAAGAGTATTTTGCTCTATCATCAACACTTTACCAAGCAGAGACTATTTGAATTTTAATTCTACATTTTAATATGCTGATATTCTTTTTGAAAGGGACCATAATCTACTTCAGTATGCATTTTTTGATATTTTATATGTTTAGAACAGCTCATTTGATTGTTTTTATATAATAAAAAATTTTTAATTAAGCATGAACTATGCCCTTCTATGTCTTCTTGTAATTAGTAACCCCACAAAATATTCATCTCCAGATATTTTTAATCTTATTGATTTGCACAATCATATTTTTCTCATTAGTTAGCATATTAGTGTATTGAATATTTGAGGAAATATAGTATTTGGGGCTGTGTTCTAGGCTTAGGGAGTAGGAGTGGTCATATAATGTAAATTACTTGAAATCGTTTAGATAAGGATATGTCTTTCTTTTAGCAGAAGCAAGAATCTTGGGCTTGAGGTGTGACTCAAGCAGTAGGTTGCCTGCTTTTCAAGTACCAAACCATGAGTTCAAAACCTCAGTCCTGCCAGAGAGAGAGAGAAAGAAGCAAGAAAACTTGTTATACTTGTTCTCAAATATAACCATAGTTGACCTACAAGCTGTCCATCCTCAGAGTGGACATCCTTTTTCAAGTGGGCACTTGGGGAAGGTATTGGTACTAATAGTTCAAGGTAATGAGATTAGTATGTTAGCATCTTCCATTGATGGTAGGGAAATAATATAAAACTGAAGACTCCATGAGAGGTTCACCCTGGCTAATTTGCTCTCCCTCAGCCACTGAGAGAATTGCCTTCTCTGTGTCTGTCCATGTTAAATCATCCTGAACTGCCTAAGTAATTCACCTGTTGACATGGAGTAGGCACCATGGGCTGAGCTAAGAACAATCTGTGAAAACACAGCTTAGTCTAGATGCTGCAGTACAGCAACCAGAAATGTTTCTGATATATCAACCAGATATTTGTTTTTTGTTTTACTTTTTAAAGTGGAACTGGAGGAAAGTGTTTTTCTTATCTGAACTGTGCTAACATCCATCTGATCTGATGCAACTAAGCTAAATTCAGTTGACGGTTTTCTTTATTCCAAATTGCAATTGCAAAAAAAATATTTTGGAATTGATTGACACATTCTCATAGCTGCCCCATCAGTTTTTTTCTTATGCTAATTAGATTTAATTCTGTTTTTTTTTTTTTCTGTTTTTAATTGCTTTGTTCTATTTCCACAGCTGGACAACATACATGTTCTTCAGCATTTTGAGCCCATGGAAGGTGTGTATAATTTTGTTCTGTTCATCTGTATTTTAATCACATGAGAATTTGCATTATTTTATATCCACTTATTTTTTCATGTTGATGAATTTTTAGTAGTTCAAAGAGAGAAAACTATTTTCTATTACCCTGCTTTCAAAACAGCAATAGAGCAAGTTATTTTGTAGAATGTCTTGTATATCATATACTTCAAAGCTCTTAGATTTGAAAAGGATTCAATCCTTACCCAAGCAACCTGCCCCAGCATTTCCCCAATTCCTCCCCTCAACATTCACTTCTTGTAGATGAGAACAAGAAGGAGCCCAGACACTAAATGAATGAGCCAGGGGCCATGGCCAGTTAATCAGTCAGTGGCCAGGTGGACACAGACTCTAAACCACAGTCAACTAATCATTGGCAGAGCTGGGAATAGAATCTAAATTTGCTGAGTTTTGGTTTATGCCCCTGGTTTGGAGTAAGAAGAAAACCACTGTCAAAATGATGCCGTTCTCAGTTCCTTACAAGATTACTGACCCTCTCTCTAATAGCTCTCCACCTCCTTAGGCCACCAAATTTTGCCTTTGACTTTTTCTGATTTGTTTACTTATTCACAACTAGTAATGACTTGAGTCATTTCAGTTTATTTCATGAGCTATCAATTTATGGTCCAAATGTGATTTAAAATTAAAATTAAAATTTGATAAGGACTTCTTGAGGTTCTTTTTACCTGGTTCTATTTAAGATGGCTTTCTCATTTTACCCTTCAGTGATCACAGGCTTTGAAACTAATAATAGATATGACATTAAAAACAACGTAGACCAGATGGTTTACATCGTAACTGAGCACACAGATGACTTCACCAGGAACGCCTATCGGAATCTAAGGCCCTTCGTGCTCCGTGTCACCGACTGTCTGGGCCGTGAGATCATGACCATGCAGAGACCATTCCGGTGCACCTGCTGCTGCTTCTGCTGCCCCTCAGCCAGGCAAGAGGTCTGGGAACAGAATTCTAATCCATACTTCCTTCCTCATGCAGTCAACCACTGTGAGGGAAAGAAAAGCAGTTGTAGAGCAAGGTCAAGCAGAGTTTCAGGTCAAGCCCTGAAACTTTTGACTGCAGGGCTCTTATTTATACATGGATAGAGATATACCTCATAGAATAAGTAGGAATTTTAAATGATATGCTAACTAAGTATCTGAATTTGCTAAATATTCCTTTACTTATAACCCTCTCCATAGCTTAATTTGCCTGTAAAATGACGAGGTTAACAGCTCTTCTCTGATAGATTATTGTTTGGAAGACTGAGTGGCAAACAAACGTTTATCTCAGCACAATGACTGACAGATGGGACAGGCTCCATGAATGTTTCTGTTGCTTTCAAATATGCCTCCTTAACTATTGTCTTTATAATATAAGCCTTAGATTTCAGCTGAATCTCCACCTGTCATCCTCAATCTTTTTGGATACAGTAGGCATTTTTCTTCATATATGTGAGTAGGAATTTAAATCAAAGCCCCTAATTGCAGCCTTCTGAGACAAGGAAATCAGCACAGAGAAAAGCAAATCAAAATTACATACTCAGTCCAACTTGTGAAACTTTTGTCCAATAACATGATTTAAGAGTTTTTTCCTTTTTTCCGGCATTTTAAATTTATTTCTGCATTTTGTTTATGTAGTCTTAGAATCTGTGTCGAATCCTGTACTCAGCAACACAAGGCAAACACCAAACAGTTCCATCAACAAAAGAATCCTCTTTTATTTTCATACTCCCCTTCCTCCTTCCTTTCCCACTTTAACTTCTGGAAACCAACAAATTGTTGTCATTTCAATAATGCTATAAAATGTTAAACATAATGCAATGTATTAACGAACCTAAATATCACATGGAACCCCTCAAAAATGTATTTTTTTTAGAATTTTTGTATCAGTTAAACATTAAATTTAATTTAGATTAAAATGCTATGGAAACAGGATCATATAGAATGCAGCTTCACAGAATTAGCTTTTTTTATCCTGTGTAGTTTCCTTGAGAGTCATAGAGGTCACTATATTATATCAGTGCTTCATTCCTTCTATAGCTCTGTAGTATAGACATTAAAGGCTATTTTTAAATGAGTTTTTTATATAATTTTGAGTTTTTTATATCTTAGGTTTAAGCTTATATGAAATATTTATTAAAGAAACTATCATATTGATACATTCACATGTGGATGTGAGTACATCGATATGTATATAAATGTACATATATTCCATACCTTAGTTTGACAGCAAATGAAGCTATGTGGTCCTGCCCCATCCCCCGACAAGTCAATTCTCAGAGTAATTAGGACAGTGCATAAGACACAGGTGAATTGTCTGTCAACCTTTCATTTTGGATTTTTAGTGTACACTTCATCGGTGTGTCTCTTTTGTGACGAGCAAATAGGTATATCTTGTTTCACAAAGGAGTATGTAAAGATAATTAAATAATACAGAGTAGGGGACACTGATTCTAAATTATTTTTTTTAATGACTTTATGTACCCACATACACAGGCAGTACTGTTTTATCCCAATTCATAGAGAAGAGAAGAGAAAGAATGCATAGTGGGGCATGCAGGGGGACCCGGAAACCAGTGGTCCCCTGGGTCAGGTTGGAGACTTGGTTTTTATAGCTTTTGTATATTGCCTGAAGGCAGAGATGTCTCTCATGTGCAGACAGAAGTTTCATGGGAAGGAAGGATGTCTCCTTGACCACTTATCAGCATTTGGGACCTTGGGCAGGCTGTTCATCCTTCAGTCTCCTCTCTCAATGGTCTCCCTAACTGCAGTTAGGGATAAGGAAAACAAGGCTTTTCCTTGGCTGCTTCCTGCTGACAGGGGGCAATGAAGGGGCCCGCAGTGTCAGGGCTGACCATGAAAGGGATTGTCAAGGGGACCACGATAGTAGGTCATTTTCATCTCCATCAGGGCATTTGTAGTTGATGGATTCTAGGCGAGAAGAAACAAACATGACAAGTAAGTTTAAAATGCAAGCCCCTGACACAAGCAAGAGAATAATGGCAACTATAGGCCCCGGAAAGGGTAGGAACCAAGTCCTGGAGGGGAGCCAGGATTTTATTTGGTCTCATACCTGTGTAGAAACCTGAGTTTCAAGAGACTGCTCTCAGAGCCATTTAATCTGTTGGAGAATGTAGTCTGCATGTTCCTCTACAATGCCTGAAGTGTTTATATAGGTGCAACAGGACGTATTGGCAATGGCACATCCCGCTCCTTGTTTAGCCAAAAGAAAATCCAGGGCCAGGCAGTGGTCCATGACCACACAGGCAAGGGATTACAAAGATCTCTGTATGTACATAATGGCAAGGCCTACCTGGTCTGAGGTGGCCTTTGCTACTTTGGTTAGGTTTTTTTGTAGTTATGTGATCAGCAATCACTCCATAGCTGATTCCAGCTAGGGCTCCAATTAATGCTGCTATCCCTAAAACTATTAGAGCAATCTCCCTTTCATCCCTTTGGGAAACTGTTTCTGTTGTAGTTAGCATTCCCCTTTCCTTCCAAATGGCTGCATGAGCATGCAGGATCAAGAAGGGATACTTAGAATCTGCATAGAGATTGGTCAAAGATCACTTCAGGGGGGGTGGGTGCACCTGAAACATCTGTAAATCCTCCATGACTTTACCCACAAGTGGCAGTGGAAGGAGCAAGGGAGAGAAGGATGCCCGCTCCCACTAGAGTTTCTCCTCATCTGGGGACTCCTAGATAAAAGTACCCCAGCCTGCGTGGGTATGCTGCGTGAGCCTAACCAAGAGTGACAGGGAATGAGAACTAAAACACACACAAACATACAGACATACAACAATCGCCCTCTGCCAAAGGCCCAGGAAGGCCAGAGTGGGACCCGAGATGGCCCACAAAATAGGGATGTTGGCATTGTTGTAATAAAGCCCTTAGCTCATGGAAGAGATGAAAAAGCTGTTCATCATTAGTAGGTCCTAAATAAGCAGTTTCAATACTCTTAAGTACTCCATAAACATATGCACTATCTGTATACAAATTAAAAGGAACATGAGCAAAGTCCTGACAAGCCAATATAACTGTCTGAAGCTCAGCACGCTGAGCAGTGGGAAAACCTAGTTGTACAACCTTTTGTCCTTGAGAGGAAAAGTAAGCAGTGTTTCCAGATCCTGAAGCATCAGTAAAAATCACAAGAACCTGAGGTATAGGATCCTCTCGGATATTGTGAGGAAATATAAAATCATGTTAAGGAGCAAAATTAAGAAGTTTAGAGGAAGGCAAATGTTCTCCAAGCTGTCCTGTAAAGTTTGCTAATGCATTTTGCCACATGGTATCAGTGCGCCATAACCACACCTGTTGTTCTTTGGTAAGTGGGACAATAATAAGGGATGGTTCTAGTCCTAGCAGTTGTACAGTGAAAAAATGTCCCATGGATATTAATTTTGCTGCCATATTATGGTAAGGAGTGATGACTCTAGCAGGGGAGTGAGGTAAATGTAGTCACTGTAGCACTCCCTGAGTCTGCCAAAGAACTCCTGTGGGTAGACTTGCAGAAGGTAAAATAAGAAGTTGTATTCGTTGAGAATAATCAACACAAGTTCTCTGAGAGTTATGAATAGCTCATTCAACCTTAGCCAGGGCCATATGACCTTCTGGTGTGAGCTATCTAGGAGATGATGGTTGAGTGTCTCCCTGTAAAATTTTAAAGAGAGGAGACAGTTCACAGGTGGTAAGTTTTAAGGCAGGATGTAGCCAATTTCTATCACCTAATAATTTTTGAAAATCATTTAAAATTTTTAAATCATCTTTGTGGAATTCTATTTTTGGGGGGTGGATAGTCCACCTATCACCTAAAAATTTTTGAAAATCATTTAAAGTTTTTAAATTATCTTTGTGGAATATTTCTATTTTTGGGGATGGATAGCTCCTTATCTGGAGCTACAATAAGGCCCATTTGGCTAAATTAAAAACAACAAAAGAAGTTTAGAAGAAGTGGGCTTACCTGGCATCTATTTTTAGTTCTGGCTGGACTATAGATGATATCCTGACAACTTAAAAATGCTGCAGAATGTCAACAGACAACAGTTAAAGGTTTTGAAAAAAGCCAACAAAAGTAAATATTTAGAAGGCTGACTCAATTGAAAATAGATACTGGGTAATTGCAAATGCTCTGAAGAAGGACCCAGACTGAGAATGAAAAGACTTAGTATAGCCATGGTTAAAATACTGAAAAGTAGTTTGGGAATTGTCAGAACATTTAGTTATTTTCATTGCAGACTGTATTTTTAGGAGAATAATTATGACTGATAGTATTAAAACAGCAGCACTAATGCTCTTTGTTATAATTAGGAACACGTGGACACAAATTTGTAAAAGTCTATCATCGTTAACTTTAGATCTCTTTAAGTTATGAAGCTAATGCCTGTGATCCCAAATAGCCTTATTTTTTGATGTATAGTTACATTTTATACATATACAGTAACACTTATTGACTAAAACTAGTATAGGCCAGATTTTAAGTAACAGGATTGCTCAAATGGCAAAGTTTTTCTGAATGTTACTGATTATAAACAGCACACCTGCCAAAAGTTTCATTAAGCATTTCATATGTCAAAGGTTTAGATGTAATGCTTTTGGATAAACAACTTTAGCTGGTCAGTTAAACGTAACACTTTTGGATAAAATAGAGCTTTAGCTCATTATTTTACATAAACTGACACTTTAAACTTCGTACATGTTTGTACCATAGTTAGATAAAGCATAGACACAGAAGACAGTTATAAGGTGGTCATTTTAGAGAACTTTGCATGAGAAAATACATAAGTGAACTCTGATTTAGTAGTACTAAAGCTTGACAACATCAACAAAAAACACAAGTAATTACTTTGATAAAATCTTTCCCTACAACAATTTTTTGTAGATGTTACTCAGAGCAGAATAATATTAAGATAGCATTGTTATCTTATGGGTGTAGAGAATTAGATTTTAGTCTGACATGACCCTAAAAACATTCTTTTAGGCAACTCTTAGATTATATTCAACTTTAACTTTTATCACACACCAAAGCTTTTCATTATACACTTTGAAAACTTACTCCGACCTTCATACAACATACTAAACCCTCTGATGGTTTGTCCTTATCCCTC